TATTGTAAAATGTAAGCCCTGGAACATAATTAGCAATAAAAACAAACCAATAATATACCAGGCAATCTGTTAAGAGTTGAAGGACATGGTGGAATTTTCTTTTAAATGATGAGGTAGTTCTGCCTTAGAGACAAAGAATGCATAAGATGAGATTTTGAAATCCTTCAACTACCGTATTTTTTAGACAATAAGATGCACCTAGGTTTTAGAAGAGGAAAATAGGAAAAAAATTTTGAAGCAAAAAAATGTGGTAAAATATTTAATGACATAAATAACATAATATTTCACCAATGTAAATGTAAAACAGAACTCAACAGCAGCATTAACAACTATTATTCCTCCCAAATTTTAGGGTAGGGGTAGTGTGTCTTATAGTCCAAAAAATACAGTATGTCTTTTACATTCTTTGAGATCCACATTAGGAAGCTAGGTAAAGTGTAGCTTCTAAAGTCTAAGTGCATATGTCTACTATTTCATCCTACTAATGTCTTCCTTTGTCCAAAGGAGAACATATATGCCCATGCAGTTACATTAATGAAATGTTCAACATTTTACAAATAACGAACAGGACAAGTATCTTTCTAAAGCTGAGATCCCTCACCACTGGGGTGGCAGTGACTTCAGATTAAGGACCCTTAGGCTGGGAGTTAAAACTCCCATTGTGCCAGGCACTGTGTTGAGTATTTTAAATCAATGAGTTTATTCGGGCCTCATAATCCTCCCATGTGGTTCTCATTGTTTCTGCCGTTTACAGATGGCTTCTGAGAAGTTCAGCAACCTGTCCAAAGATACACACCTACGAGGTGAAGAAGGCAGAGTGGAGCCCAGGTTTGCATACTCCCAAATCCACTCTTTCAATGAGTCCTGGTTCTCTATCTGTTACTGTATACTTTCTGTTTCCCTGGGGAAAGTCAAGAAATTCGGATCTCAGTTTTCTCAACTATCAGTTGTAGAGTGGGAACACAGAGGCTGATAGAATGTGATCTCTAGTATCCCCGCTCTGTCTTAGAGATCAATGCTGGTAACAGCAGAGCTGTGCTTTCTTGAGATGATACAACTTTTAGTGAAGACTGGGCTTGCTGAATAAATACAGACAAGTCACACTCAGCGTCTGTGGACAACTGCACCCAGTTTGGGGAGGAAAAAAGGACTAATCCCTCACACATGACCCTTGAGGGTATTTGGGTTGGGCGTAGTTGCTAATTGGCGTGATAACTGGTGTGACTGTGGGTTAGTATTGCTGCACCTAATTGCGTGCAGTAATGGGTGGGCAGCCAGGAATCTTTTGAATGCCAGGAGCCAAGGTAGCAGGAAGCCTTTCCTGACACTTAAATTCCCAGTCTCTAAGCACACACCTTTGCACTCACTTTAATTGTTTCAGAACTATAGACTTTTGGGCTCCATCCACTCAAGCAGCTGTCTGGGTGACTGGGGGTGGGGATGGAGGAGGTAGGGCAAAAGGAAGTAGCTGCAGCCACTCTGCCAAACTTCCCCACAGTGCCCTCCAGCAGCAGAAGAGGCAACTTGCAAATGTTTTAGGCTCAGCTAAAGTGTGGGGTGCAGCTTAGCAACCTCAGAGACAGGAAAAAGAAAAACAATAGGAGAGGATAAATATTCTAGGCTAGCTGTATGGTCATGAGGGGAAATAACCAGGCTTGTCTTTGCCACATACAGTCACAGAGGAAAGGATCCTTGGAGGCTCTTTGGACCAATTTTCTTATTTCTTGGGTCAGCATGTCACGATGAATTAACAAATCATATGTGGGTACTGCCCCCCAATACACAGTCCACTTATATGAAACATCAAGTAGATAAATGCTGTTTTTCAAAAGGTAAAGGCACAATTCCTACCATTTCCATTTTGTTTCTGTTCAATGTTTCAACCACAGAGTGGTGCTATTGCAAAAGATAAGGGTGGGCAGAACTTGAGCTCTAGAATTTTGCTTTAGGAGAGAGTTTGAAAAGGGGCTTTCAAACACTGGATCTGGTTTCTGCTCTCATGAACCACTTTCAGGAGTCAGGGCCTTACATTCAGATGCAGCAGAGAGAAAACAAAGGTTCAGGAACCTATGAATACAGTCAGCAGATGAAGGGCCCAGGCGATGAGTCAACTGGGAGGGAGGTGATTACCTAGCTAATAAAAAAAGACCTCATTCTGGATGGACTGTCTGTATGGGCTGAACTCACCAGCTTACTTCCCAATTCTGTTCTTTGCTTTAACTATCGATACCACAAAGTTCTTTCTCTATTTAGAAAATCAGGTTGGCTTACAAGTCACAATGTTCTGCAGTTCCAAAAGGACTCCCTATTACAATAATTTTTTATCCTATCTTAAAAGAAAAAGAAACACCTTTCTACTCCTTTTTTGGGCCACCCTGTTTTTATTACCTTACCACCCTCCCTGAAGCTAAAAGGAAGACCTGGGTGGCCACCCCTAGTCGTCTTTAGAGGTGAGAAGAGCATCTTTTGCTCTGAAGGAGAAAGAGGAACAGTAAAGGAAAAGGCATTGTCCCTGTTCCGGAGACTGCCTGAAAAATGTCTTCCACAAAGGGGAGGGCTCGTGACTGTGCCTTTAGAGAAAAGTGAGAAAAGTGGATCTTGTACGCTCTGCTTCTGCAGGGTTCTCTCACTCTTCCTCTCTCCTTCCCTCAACCCCTCCCTAGCCCCCTCCACCCAAAGGCACCACACATATTTGGCAAGATTAAGGTGTCACCTCTCGTATTACAAGACACGTTGATTGCACGCAAAGACAGACCCACCAGCTCAGGACAAAACACTCTGCAGCTGGGAAATAATAGGAACTCTTCCTGTGACTGCCTAGGTCCTCGAAAAGTAAGGCAGCCACTCAATGACCGGCATCTGCAGAACAAATCGCGGTCTTAAACTCACTGCTGCCTTTTCTTCTTTTTCTTCTGATTTTTCAAATTCAGGTTTGACCCCTCCCTTCCCCTCCTCCCTCCAGACTGCCATTGACCGAGAAGCTGTAGGCCCTTCAGCCCGCACGTATTTTTAACCCATTCCTCACAGAAGTGGGAGCCAGCCACCTCTTTCTTTCCCACCTCCGGGTTACCGGAGGACCTTGAGCTCCAGAAAAAGTGACCCTAGAACTCGGCCTGTGGAACTAACACTGGGCCCCGAATCTCCCCTTTGAGAGATGAGGGTTGGAGGTGGGGGGCAAGGGCGGGAAGTGGAGGGAGGGCAAGGAGGCGGGCCAGAGCAGGGGGAGAGAACCAGAACCTGACAGAGCACGCCCAGTACAGCCTTCATGTTGCTGTGTGCTCGGCGGAGGGAACAGCTTGGCAGCCTAATCTGGCCCGGAGGAGGACCTGGACATTTTGGCCTGAGGGAAGCACTGAAGGAGAACCCTACTCTTCACAGGGACCGTGGGAGGTGCCGCCCCTGGGCCTCCGTGGGCGCTTCTGGCCGTTTTCGATGTGGCAGCCTCCCTCAGCCAGGATAATGATGAGGCAGGTACAATCTGTCTAGTAGGAGGCCCCAGACTCCTCATCCCTTCCCATCACCCCGCAGCCTCTCTCCATGTGGGGTTCAGTTTGATCTGGTAGGCAAAGTGCCGGTTCTTCTCGGCATGTGACCCGATTTTCAAACAAGTCAAAGAAATGTGGATGTTTTGAACCTGGACCCTAGCTGAAACAGAGTGGACTGTTTATTAGACACCTGGAACGGCAGGGCGGGGAGGAAACGGGGTACGTACTCACTTCCCTCCCCCAACGGCGCGCAGAGTCAAAAGGTCCTGGCCGGAGATGGAGTGAGGAGTGGCTGAGATGATGGCAAGGAAAGCCGAGGGGGGTCGGAGATGAGATCCGCGGGGCCAAGACTGGGGAGCCGGGTAGAAGGGAAGGAGGAGCGCAGAATTCCGCTCTGAGGCTCTGGATTTCTCACTGACCCCTAAGTGACCCCCGCCCCAATCTCTCGATGGCAAATGGGTGAGAGCAAGATGACTTAACCTGGTAAATTTAGAGAGAATGGTCAGAACATGTGGGGGTCTGACGGGCAGCTAAAATTATCTCGAAATAAGAGATTTTGCTCCCCCTCCCCCCATTCCGTTCTTCGAAAAATCCACCAGTGGGGAAGTGAGCGTCACTATTTTCCGAGGTCTACTAAGAAATCTGATTGTTTCTTGTCTTTCTGCTTCCCGCACGCACGGTCCCCTCGTGCAGGACTGGTGGGTGCTGGGCGGGTGCTCAGCGGCAGGGCCCGAACCTAGTTTGGAGAGAGGGGCTCAGAGGTTGGAGGCTCCGATCCACCCGGCTCTCCGTTCACGTCGTGCGCGCACACGCGCACTCTCTGTCCCCCACCCCAGCACCCTCACCCCACCCCCCTCTCCCAACCCTTTCTCCCCCAATACCTCTCTGATTCGATATCCTTTTACCACCCGCACACATACGGTCCCCACGAGCAGGCAGCAAGTTCGCTGGGGAACGATTGTCCCTGGGTGTGTTCGTGATGGAGGGTGAGGGAAGGAGGGACGGGTGGGCTAGATAGGGGGTGGGGAGAGATCTGGAGATGGAAGGGTCTAAGGTTTGGAGGAGGAGTTTACACATTCGACCCAAGCCGCCCAGAGGAAAGGGGGAAGAAAGGTCTTTCTGCCTAATAAAGAAAAATCTTAAATAAAAAAGAAAAAAGGGAGAGCAAAAAGAAAATTTTAAGAAAAAGAACAAATAAGACAGGCTGGAGAGATTAACATGTAAAATGTATTAAAAAGTTGAATATTTCGTTTTTTCCCTTGGATCACTAAAAGGGACATCATGGGGGAGACTGGAGCAGACAACTCATCTGGAAGTTTTTGGTGTTTTTCTTTAAGAGGGGCCAGAAGGAATAGCCCAGTCCTCCCACTGGCACCCAGACCAAGTCGGGAGGAGGGGCGGACGTTGGGCGCAGGCCCACTAGGCGCGCGACCCGTCCGTCGCGGGGGCGGACGACGCGGCGCACAAGGGGTTAAGGCGCTGAGCGCGGAGCCATCTGGCTGGGTTGGCTGGTTATAACCGCGCAGATTATGTTCACGGGACTCAGAGTTGAAGGCTCCTCTCCCTACCGAACAGCTCCGCGCGCGGCCCCACGAGAGAGCCCGGAGCAACTACTTTGCTCCCTTTTCTTTCTTCTTTTTTTTTTTTTACCCCTGCTGGGTAGTGGCGGCGGTGGGTTGGGGGAGACTTTGAATGACCAAGTTTGCGTCCACCTTTCTCTTCATGTCGATGTCCCTGGAAACAGTCACACGGATGCCATGGTTACTTCTGCCACGGTAAGGGGAGGAGGGCACATTGGGTGGGCAGGTTCGTGACTGGGGGGCGTCGTGGGGTTTTTTAAAGTGGAGGAGCGCGGTGGCCCTGACTCTGCACCCCACCCCACCCCCATCGCGCTGCACTCACTTTCCCGGGCTTGCGTCTTCCCCAAAGTTTGTGCTGGGATCAGCCCCGGCCGAGGCGCTACCACAACACCCCGTACACACACACACTTGCACACACACACTTCTCCCCACCTCCACTCTTTCGGCCCTCTGCGGCCCAAGAAACCGCTCGATATCTGGGAAAGTGATCAGTTTAAGAGACCTGGATTGGAAATGAAGGGCGGAGGCGAGGGGAAATGGGGGTGACAGAAGGGCAGGGAAGAGATTCAGCAGAACTGCCACCCCCTTCCCCAACACACGCGTGTGCTCCTGCAGAGAAGTCTCCCTGCGCATCCTGTAACAAAAGGGGGTGACCGACAGATCCCGGGCAGGGAAGAGGAGAGGTGCCACCGCCACTCCCCGGCACGCCCCCCGCGACCAGTTCCTAGCCGCTTGGAGTTCTCCGAACTGCTAGGCTGCCCCTGCCGGGGCGTGGGCTGGGGGAGGGCTCTCGGAGCTCCGGACCTGGAGGGTCGCTTCCAAGTCTGGGGAGTTGAGACTCCTCACCCGGCGCGACGTACCTGCTCTGGAGTCCCTCTGGCTCCGCGGAAAGCTTTTTTCGGAAACGAGCCTGCACTTGGGGCACGTCTTGGCCAGCGGCCACCCCACCCAGGGTCTCTGCGCAGATGTTGGACTCCGAGCGCGGCCAGGGCATCTGGGACCCGGCTGAGTAGCGGCGGTCATGGGGGGACCGGGCCATCCCTGGGGAAATCCTCGCGGTTTCTCTGAACCAGCTCTAGGAATTTGAGGCGGAGATGTGGGAAGGCTGGGACACCCGGGGACCGGTGGAGCCAAGTCGGTGTTGAAAGGATCCACAACGGTCCAATTCGCTTCATTGCCCCAGAGCTCTGTTCATAATCGTTATGAAATTTGGGACGATTGGGAGTTGAAAGTTTGGAGGAAGAGGGGCTGGGTGGGGGAGGGGACTCGGCTTGTTGCTTTAGGGGGCCAGTGGGTGCGCTGCTTCTTTGGGGGAGTTGAGCTGCTGCGTTCCGCAGCCGCGCTTCACGTGCACGGAACGGAGAACCCTTTGCAGATCAGTGAGGATCCCTCTCATTGGATCTGTGGCTCGGGGGATTCCAGGTGTAGGAAACACCGAACCTGAACCTGAACGCGACCTCTGGCGTCGGGCGGCAGGTTCAGAGTCTGAGTGGAGGCAGCTGCCTAGACAAACCGGAGGGCTGGACTCAGAGCTGGAGAGCTCGGAGACTGCGCGCCCGTGGACTTGTTTATGTGTGCGAAGAGCTGGGGGCGGGAGCTGGGTGGAGGCGGGGGCTAAAAGGGGGTGGGTGTCACTCCTGGAGTCTGATGTTTGCAACTCAGACAATTACAGAACGTGCTGGACGACCTGCTTCTTAATAAAGAGATACCCTTTCCCTCTCTGCAGAACAGAGAGCAGGAAAAACATCTAAGCTCCGTGCCCTGAATGTCAGGAAGGGAGACGCTTGTAACACAGAGGGAACTTTTCAGTCCGTCCGTTTTCACAGCACTCAGGAATCCTCCAGCACATGCAGCCTGTCCCCGCTTCGGCCCGCAATCCCTTCCCTGACATGTTGCACAAAGAAAGTCGAGCAGTAGAATTCAGGGGATAAAAACCCAGCAGCCTCTGTTTGGGGCTCACACTGAGACCTTGGTTTGGGAGTGAGGTGACATGAAAAGAAACTGGATTCTGTAAACAGTGTTGGAGGAAAATAGAAAGACTGGAGGCTGGTGGGTTGCATTAGGGAGTGTGTTGGTGAGGACTTCACTGAGCTGGATGTGGAAGATTTGGTTCTGTGTAACAGGGTCTGCTTTCCTGTGGAGGTTAGATCGGGATCCTTGGTTGCTCTGTTTGGTAAGGGAAGGAGGTTTTTGGAAATTTGCCTGAGGTTGTGTTTGGGAGGTGGCCATAGTGCAGGAGCTCCACCCTTCCTCTGCTCCGTGGAGGTGTTTCTGAGGACTCTCTGAGGGGAGCATATGTGTGACTAGCAGGAGATGAGAGCATGTGGGAACATAGGTGTAGCTAATGAGAAATCTGCACTTGAGAAGGGTGTCGGAGCAGGAGGAGAGAGGTACAATGTGTTGAAGACAGATGGCGTGTGCATGCCTGCACAGACACAAGGGGTGGGTGTGGCGTGGGAGGGCGGCTAGGCTGTGTGTGGGAGTGAAAGGTGGATGTGTGTGGAAGGTTGGGCGCCTGAGGATTACCAGAGGGACATGTGTGGAGGTGGGGAAAGATGATCTGAGAAGAGCAGAGTGTGAACTTTACAAGTGTGTGTTGCGAAGTTTGGCTGGGATGGCAGTGAGGTGTGTGGGAGGCAGAAATGGTGCGCTCCTCAGACTCTTGTTATTAGAGAGACTTGTCAGGGAAGGATGCTGGGTTGGTTTTTGCCTCCTCCCCCCCCCCAACCCCAGAGGAGGGAATTGGAGAAGGCTTAGAATGAGGGATGATGTACATTTAAGAGGAAGAGTCCTCTGTGTGTTGGCACTGAGTGGGGGTCAGGGAGGATGAACGCATAGGATTAGAGCCAGTGGAGGAATATATTTTGCATGGCTAGTAGCAGAGATGCAAGTAGTGTTATGTTGTATAGTAGATTTCTTACTTAATAAGGGATTCACTGCCACCAACTGATACTGGCTATCAATGAAAACTTATGGAATGACTACTGGATGCTCAGCTCACTGCTGGGTACTGGGCCATGGCACAGTGCCCTGGAAACATTCCTTCTTGGAGCTCAGCTGACTGCTGCAGTTTTGCCAGGAGGAATGAAGCAAGCTTGATGCTAGTTGAGGTTTCTTCAAGAACTATGATTCAATTTTTAGAGATGTTTATGGATATTGGGGACCAAGGGGGTGCTGACTTGAAATATATCTGTGGTTTTGTAACAAGAGGACATAAAGATGGGGATGAGGTACAGTTTTGTGTGATGGGGATGGAGCTGAGCATGTTACTGTTTTTTTTTAGGGGTGTGAGCTGGGAACTGGGGTGAGGGATGCCTCAGTCCAGGTCAGAATGCAGGTCCCCATACATTTGAGGGGTGAGTTTTTGAGTGGGAAGGGCCTACTTACTGGCAGGAATAAAACTTGACATGTGGAGCTGCAGAAGGGTGAAGCACCAATCAGGGAAGATGTGGGTTGGGAGTGTTCGCTAATCTTGCCGTTTTCTGGGCTATGAGGGGAAGCTAACCTGGTGTGTGTATGATTGTGTTCATGTGCCCACACACACTCTGAGGTCAGAGTTAAGTAACTGGGAGAAACTTAGCCATGAGGATTGGAACAAAGCATATTCTGGCTCTGTGTGTGTGGGGGGGAGTAGGTTTGTGTTTTTGTAGGTGTGTCTGAGGAAGGATGCTCAGATGTGCATCTTAAGTAAAAAAAAAAGGTACAGATAAAAGAAGAGCTGTAGGCTTTTGAGCCTCTGGGAAGTGAGGGGAAGGTGAAGTAGGTTGGGTTCAGACCCTGAGAGAGCTGGCGAGGTGGCTGAAAGAACAGATAGATGCTGTGCTTTGACCACACACACTTGCTGGTCTAGACCAGGTGATAGGGAACCTCTCGTGTTAAGTTCTAATAGTGTGAGAGCACATGTCTGGGGGGACTTTATTTGACTCATGACCTCTCTGAATTTATAAAATGATAGCTGTGCCATGATGAGGTTCAGTTTTATTTTTCTGGGAATGCATCTGTACGAGGGAGCATTAATAAAGGGTTTGACCTTTGGTCAGATCTGGTGGCAGATATTTCTGAGGGTGGCGTGGTAGGGGTGGAAGACTCCATATTGGGAATGTCTTGGTTTTCGTCCCACTCTGCCACTATGGAGCAGTGTGACTTCAGGGAGGTTTTCTCATTTCTCTGATTCTCTGTTTTGTTTCTCCTTTTGCAAAAGGGCAACGTCTTCAGTGCCTCAGGGAGGAAAGTTTACTTTGCTTTTCTCCCAGTCAAAGTTTGGTGTGTTTAGGAGTTTAAAGCTTTACTCAGAGATTACGTCTAATCGAATACGAGCACTGGCATGTATATGAACCATTGTAAAACTAGGATCTGTGCCTCTTCCTCCCAACAGTGTAAGTTTGTAAAATGGTCTTAATGTCTACTGCTCACCTGCTGGGTGAGTGGGACTTTCTTTAACTGCCTCAGCTTACTCATCCATTAAATGGAGGCAGCCAAACCTAGATTAGAGTTGATGGAAATCTGTATTAATAAAAGGTTGTCGTACTTTTTGGAAGGTGGCCCAAAAACCCATGTTATTAATTGTCAGAAACAGACATGATCCTGTACTTTAACACAAACTGTGCAGACCGTGACACCACAATGAATGTGACTTTGAGAAGGGAGAAAATAGTAATTGTCAGTGATGACCAGCCATCCTGGATTATTATGAAGGACTCTAAACTGTGGGTCCTTGGAACTAAGAGCCTTCAGAGATGTGACATGTGTTGTACCCAGTGCAGCAGGTTGGTACAGCCACTTTCCCCAGAGACAGAAATGAAAGCAGAGGGACACGGAAACCCACTAAAGCCTCCGAGTCCTCCCAGAAGTCAGCACGTGCTGTCGGCTCCTGGCTCAGAGTCAGGCTCCCATCCTTGAGTTCAGTGGCCATAAATAGTCAGGAGCTAAGCTATTTCCATGAGGCACTAAACCAATTCTGTTGCTTTTCTTGGCGAGATTGGGCCAATTAAGTTGATTGGAAGAGGTCACTGCTGATGGGTCTCACATTCCCCAGGCAGGACAAGCCAGCAGAGTTTAATTACACAACATTTCCCATCTCTGCAGGTCCACTCCCAGATGTATCAGATGTTCAGGCCTCTCCGCTTCCCCTCCATTCGGGATGACGAATGGAGTGGGGGCTCCTGCTCCAGGCTTCTCCAGACCTCTTCTGAGCA